ATGTCGTCATTAAGACGCGCGCGCGCGATTATCATATGAATATTCGTGTGATGGTTATATCCGTGTACGCCGGTGAATCCTGATTATACGTTCTGACGAGCTGAAAATAAGATCCACGGCCGGAAAATCACAGGGAGCTTGATATTTTTGTAAGACGCTACATTCCTGCGCGAGTACGCACGCACGCACGCACGCACGCACGCACGCACGCACACGCACACGTACGCTGGCGTGATATGAAATATCGAGGCACTCTCGCACCATTGCGTAAAAATACTCTTTCGTCTTGCCCGACTGATGGCACGCATCGATAAACATCGGAAACCACGCGCAGCGCCGCACTCGCGCGTTACTCGGCATAATACGTAGATTTGCCAGCGAGCCGAGCGATACAATTTCACCCGCATTAAGGAGAAAGCGTTCGCCCGTTCTCCCCGACGACGACGATTTGTTCGCGGGACTCGCTACCCCTCCACCTCTCTCTCTATCTCTCTCACTCTCTCTCCAAGCCCCGGCCCGCTTTACGGTCGGACGTGGATGCGCGATCCATTTCCGAGCGCTTCGACTTCCCGCGCGCGCCCGATGTAAACAAGTCCACCCGCTTTTCACCCCGGGCGTGACATCAAGTTGCGTAATGTTGTCTTCTTTGCAACGCCCCGCGAGTGCATAATAAAACGTTATTTCCCACCCGTCCCCCGTTGGACAATTTTTCGGGAAATTGTATGGAGCGGGAGCTTCAACCCAACGTCGATCTGGTACTTCCCTCCCCCTCCCTCTCCCTCTCTCACTCTCTCTCTCTCTCTCTCTCTCTCTCTCTCTCTCTCTCTCTCTCTCTCTCTCTCTCTCTCTCTCTCTCTCGATCGCTGTCTATGCGTACCTTCCCAGTCAATAGCCGGCAAAAGTGTAGAACGTCGAAGTTCGCTATTCGCGACTTCCGGCCGTGACCAAGGCGAACGAGAGCGCGGCGGGAGAGAGAGAAAGAGAGAGAGAGAGAGAGAGAGAGAGAGAGAGAGAGGGAAAGAGAGGGAAGGGGGGAGGCCGTCGGAGGAGGACGCGAGTGAAGCCAAGCAGAAATGGATTCGCGATTTCGTATGAATCGCTAGTTACTGAATAAAGTCTTTTCGCCCGGGTTGGCTGGAGCCGGCGGTGGCTGGCTTTACTTTATTATATGTATATTCGCTGCTGCGCGCAGGATGAAACGGGGTTTTCGCGGAGAGTCGAAGAGGACGGGGGGCGGCAGCGGGTGGAGGAGGAGGAAGAGGAGGTGGAGGAGGACGACGAGGAGGAGGAGAAAGAGGTGGAAGAGGAGGTGGAGAACGGGTGAGTGGGGTATCGCGAAGAGGGAGTTGGAAGCACGGAGGAAGGAGGTGGTCGTTCGACCGTGCGGTTCTATGAAATCAAAGGCCACATTGTCACCGGAATTACCTCCATTCGGAAACGACGTATTCAGGCTACCGGGCGCACGTGGAATTAACCCTATTTGTTTGCCGCCTTCGAGTCGCGTGTAACGAAGCCACGATTTATTCCGTATATGCCCGCTCGCCGGTACCCTGCAGTAAGAGAGTGAGAGAAGCACCACAGAGAAAAGAGAGAGAGAGAGAGAGAGAGAGAGAGAGAGAGAGAGAAGGGGAGACGAAGAGAAAGAGAGAAGGACGTCATCTCCCGCGCATCGTGTACGCCGTCGATTCACAGAGCGTCGAGGAATCGATCGAGAGAATAAGAGAGAGAGAGAGAGAGAGAGAGAGAGAGAGAGAGAGAGAGAGAAAGCGGGAGAAGGGGGGCAGAGAAGAGAGAGAAAGAGAGAGAGAGAGAGAAGAGGAGAGAGAGAGACGTACCGCGCTACGAACTCGAAGGCGCTCGGGAAAAGGAGCTCGCGCCGCGCGGCAAGAATCTGAATCGCGGCTAATGAGTCGCTGCTCGATCTACTTGCTGAATTACATCTGCATGTGCATGCCCGGTAACTACGGCGGCTATTGTGCGCGAATCTCGGGCTTCTCCGTGCACGGCAGATTTGCCGATAGTAATCGCCGCAACGAGCCTCGACGCAACGATCGTGCGCGTCATACGTCGCGAAGGATCAGCGACACCCGTCTCTCTCCTCCGCGCGCAGCCCCCCCCTCCCCCTCCCTCCGTCTTCTATCAAATAAATAACAATTCGGACATGCGGGGGACCGGCTCGATCGGCGAAGATCGAATGAGAGCGTCAGAGGATCCGACAGCAGGAGACTTCGGGGAAGCTCTCGAGATCCACGACGGAATAAATTCGTAATCGTTGCTCCTGCGAGGGAACGGCGCAACGGCGGGGCTGCGTTTGGAGTTGCGAGCACGGAAGCACGTTCCGAGCGTTAATGCGTGACGGGGGCTTATTAATCCGCATCGCGCTACCACACTGCCTACTCACGGATGAGGAAATTAGAGCGTATCGTTTCGCGCCTGTCAGCTGTTGGCGTTACGATAAAACCGCTCGAAATTTCACGGTTGCAGATGACACCGTTTTACCGGCCGACTGGCCCGACCGGTGTGCGTCATTCTTCGTCGGGTTCGTTATTGGGAACGAAGCACACTGCGAGCTCCCGTCCATCGCCACGGTAAATTAGTATAGTATCGCCGAAATGTGTAAATGTATTTCCGCTACTCCGAAACCGCGACGCGATATCGGAAGGCGCGTCGCGCAAGTGCTTCGGGCTAAAAAGATAAACATATATTCCTTCGTCGCGCAGGAGTTTAGCGGCCGGCTCCGTGTGCCGAACTTGCAGCGCCGGGCAGCAGCGGCTGTGTGAGATTCGCCACGTGCGAACCGGCTGCCGCACATAAACGCACGTGTACAGGTGGCCGTCGCGGCACGTACGTGCGATAAGGAAGGACGCTACCTTCTCTCGATTCTCGGGAGCCACCCCCCTCGCCCCGAATGAGATCCCCGAAGCGTCTGGCACGGCGCTCCGTTTCTTTGCCCGTACGGAGGCGCACCTTCATTCGGAATTTCTATGTACCTGCAGGAGACTAGGATTATACATAACCTGTGGTCCCCAATATTCATCTATTCGCACACACGATCCCCGTACTCTTATCTATCCCGCTCGACACGTACAAAGCCGCAGAGGGTGTGACACACCCCCCGACCGAGCGATCGGCGCTCGACACAAAAGTCAGACGAAAGATGATGACGCGACGTCGCGGCGCGGCGGTCGTAGGCGGCGGTCGAGAATGAGCCGCGTACGCGTGTGGTGTGCGTGCGTGCGTGCGTGCGTGCGTGCGGCGGAGGAGAGCGACCGAGGACGATGGAGAGAGAGGAAAGAACCGGCGGCCGAAAGTGGGAGGGCGAGAAGCGAGCGAGAGAGAGAGAGAGCGAGAGAGAGAGAGAGAGAGCGAGCGCAAAAGCGCACGCGAAGAAAAACAAATGAACGCTGCTTGCCCGAAACAATCGAAGCCTGTGCGTGGAACAGGGGTTGCTGGCCTTTTATGTTACCAACCCCTGCTGGCGTTCGCCATCTCTCCCCCCGCCTCTCCCCGACCCTCCTGCCCCTCGCCGTTCCACCGTTATACCCTCCACGCACCCTCCTTCATCGTCACCGCTTCATCCTCGGCGCCCTTCCCCTCCGCGCTTCGCGCCCCGTCGCCACGCGCATTCGTTGCACTTAGGCTGGAACTTGAAATAGTCCGACACGCGTCCAATAATGCGCGTGTATATGTGCGCGTGTGTATACATATATATATTACATGTATTAAATATGAAATATTAAATTTATAATTAGATATCAATGATACCGCACACACATATGCGATTGGGCGAAAGTACACACTGTGTGGCGAGGAGTTACACATGTTATTAATATTAAAATTTCATTACACGAGATCTATCAATTTTGATTTTATTTAATGGCTTCTCAATTTAATTTTTTAATAAAACGGGAGGGAAAATATAAAAATTCAATGCAGTGCATGATCTAAAAACGAGTCACTTTGATAACCCATCTGGTGAAATTTCAGGCAATATTGTCTTATTCCAAAAGGTCATTATACGCCGTGAAAAAATGAGGAAATCATATGAAATAAAGCTCTGTTGAATAATTATATAATCTAGAAAACACAAATACGAGAGTAAAGAAATGAAATAAAACTCCCGTAATTTTTGCATCGTAGCTTAAAACAAATATTAAAAGAATACTGAATACTTAAATATCAAAAAATATTGAATATTTTAAATATGGATAATACGGATAATATGGATGCTTGAGAAAAGAATCATTTCCCAATTATATCAATAAGTTTAAACCACTTTCTGATTATATGAGAAAATGTACTGTTTTATGAATTGACATCGAAAAGCATATTCTTGATTCTTGTTCAGTTAGGCATTTGTCCTTGACACTTTGCATCTCCTTGATACGTTTTGAGCTTTATAGTATCGGCTTATCTCTAAATACATACACTCTCACTCGACCTACCATCGAGTCGTGCTTGTTTACATCAATAAAAACAGAATGAGAATGATATTGCGCTAATCCCCCCTTCGTGGCCCGAATTGTCTTTGATTTCTCTTTTCGACCGTTCCGCTAAAATCCATTCAATTCGCGACGATACCACATACTTTGTTTATATCGCAATATTCCAATCTTTTAGCGATGTATATTTGTATATTTGCAGTAATGCATTTATATCCAGCATATAATTAGCGGACAAAAGTTTGGTTTACCGAAGTAACTAGAATCAAACGCGATGTTGAGGGCAGACTTGACACGGGGGACCGCAAAGGGTTAGGGCATATTTACGCGTACAAAACTCGATAAAAGTTCCAAAGATTAAGCAAGCAAAGAGCAAATTGCCAAAAGTATCTGTTCTGGTCTGCCGCGTCGCATGAGACCATGCATATGAGTAAAATTTTCCAATACTCAGAGCAGTTAAATGAGGCGCTAATTCATCAAAGAATCGAGAGCGACCACGCGCCGCGCGCGCGCGCGCGCGAAGACGAGAGGATCAAAAGGAGCGTACTTAGTACATACCACACACGCAGCAGCGAGGCTGAATCCAGGTCGACGAAGACGGCGGCGGCTGCTTCTCGGAGTCGGCGTCGGAGAAATTCGGCGACGACGGGGCATCCGGCGCAACATAAATCAGATCCCATTCCGGAGTGATAGAGATACCGACGACCACTCTAACGACCACTCGGTCAAAGCCAAACGTCATTGCAACCCGCGGCACTACATCCCGGCGAGCCTCGGCGCGTGACGCGTGTCACGATCGTCGCGCAAAATTCAAAACCGAAATTCCGCGCATTGTCCGCGCGTCACCGCACGCGTCACTCACACGCGAGAGATTCTCTAAATCATCGGGCTCGTCGTCCGACATTCGCGCCCGCGCGGAGCGAGGACAACACGTCGTCGCCCTCGCCCTCGCCGTCGCCGTCGCCGTCGTCGACGACGTGCACCAGGAGCGAAGTACGCGCGCGGGAAAAGAGCGGCCCCGGCCGACTGTCTCGTCGGAGTCGCGACTCCGCGCTGGGCTCCCCAGAAGAGCTCCTCGACTTCGGGTCGTCGTCGTCGTCCTCGCGTCGTCGCTCCGCTTCCACGCTTACGATCGCGCAAACGTGAGACCCGCGCGGCGCGCGTGTTACCCGCGTTTTGTCGCGATGCATCGTGCGTATTTCAATCGCGACGAACGTTAAATGCCGGCTTTCAATCGCGTCGGCGATGCGTGTAAACGCGAAATTGAAATAGCTTTCACGGCTGAAACGGCCCGGGCGGACCTAATAACCAGTCCCCAAATGCGCGTCTCTAAATGCGCGTCGAATGGAACAAGGGGATTTTTTATATCTTTTAAAAGAACGTATAGATGATATTCGAAGGACGCGTAAGTCGGGGGCTACGAGTCTGCGGATGCAAACAGACAGTCGATAGTGAAACGTGCTAGAGAAAACATAGATATGAATGCCGATGGAAACAGCGAATGTCCCTTCAAACTGCCGACGAGCTTGTATCATACATCCCCAACGCGTGCGTCGCAACAATATCGCTGTTATTCTCCTGAAGCCTTGACTGCACGATTTTTCGTTATCGGCGCGCCGATCGACGCAGCATGGAAGCGATCTGAGCGTCAAAGTAACCTCAAAGTAACGCGATAAGGGCAACGCTTCGACGCGAACCTGCAGCCTTGCATTTTATTACTGGCTACTCGACAATCCGCAGAGAAATAACGAACGGTGGAAATGTAAAAGAGATTACGTGCATTCGTCGCGGGGACGTTTCGTCGACCACGAAATCGAATTGCCCATGAGTGAGATCGGTGCACTCGCGAGCACTCGCGACGTATGGGATCATTTCACACGCGAGAGATCGCAGGTCGAGACGAAAGACTACGGTCGCACGGAGCGGCGTCCCGTGGATCCGCGGAAGCCGAGATCGTCGTGGTGGCGCGCACGAACACGTTCGAACAGGTTCGCGGGACCGGCGACTCCACGGCACCGGAGTCGCTCTCTCGACTCGGCACTCCCGATCACACTTCCTCGACGTGATTACGACGAACGAGGTGTCACTGATTCGCGCACGAGCGCGTTGGTTAACGACGCACCAAGAAACGTCCGCCCGGAGAGAGAGAGAGAGAGAGAGAGGGAGAGAGAGAGAGAGAGAGAAAGAGAGAGAGAGAAAGAGACCGGCTGGACGACGGAGGCGAGAACGGAGGGAAAACGCGGCGCGCGACCGCACTCGCTTGCCTTGCGCGCGACATTGAACTGATCGCAGTACCTCGCGAAGTTGTCGCCCCCACCGCGCCACGCGCGATCTCCCCACTCCGTCGCATCGCACCCAGCGGCGCTTTAATGCAGCTACATTCAGCCCGCGACCGCTGACCAAAAAAACCAGATTTTTCGTTACCGCGAATCTGTCCGCGCGCGCGCGCGACCCCGTATCTGCGCTCCGAGCGAGCGGTAGAACGATAAAATCGTCACCGGGATCGCGCGCATTGTAACTGACCTGAATGCGCCGTGAAAATTCGGCCAAATTTTCGGATCGCGGCCGCGCACGGCGGCCCACAGCGCTCCGGAGAGTCTTCGGAGGCGATCCGACGAACACGAGTATTCGTTTCTAGACGTTTCCCGACACCCGGGATCGTCACTGGCGACATTATTTCGGCACTCCCGATGCTCGATTGAGCCGTCAAACGAGAGAAAATCGCGAGAGACACGGAGCCTACCTTTAAGCTGCCCAGCATCGCGAATCATCTGTACGTTTTCGAAGTATTTTTTTGCACTGCTGCACATTGGTGCAGTAAGTTTGAGTGAGAAAAGATCTCGTCTCGCTGTACACTTTTATTGCACTAAAGTGCGCCAATTCAGAAAGTTCTTCGAAAGAGATTTAAATGAAGACCATTTTAGAGATTGAAACAAGGATCCTCTCTTTCTCGGTCATCGATCAATCAATTCGATTCTTATCTCTTAATTCTTATTTCTTCTTATTTTTCCGATGTTTTCAGAGTCGATTCACCATGTTGAAAGCCTTCGCTTTTTTATTTTTCAAGCTTTGCTAGCTTTCTTTGCTAGAGGTCTTGGTCTTTTTCACCAGCTTCAGACCATCTTACTGAGATCGCAATGCAATAACCGAAAATCACCTTTAAATATTCTTACATCGGACTGTTAATAAACGCAACGCAATGAATGAATCAAAACGGTTTGAAAGTTTTTTGGATGTTCGGAATGTAGCAGACGCCTAATGAGAAAAAAGTATTGTAGCCGACAGTGTAGAGTAAAAATTATCCAATGACAATCGAGTATTTGTAAAATTAATGACTCCACATCTCGAGGATGCTTAATGTATGTTATGTACATATAAAATAAATTAATCAATTCTAAATCTCTCATGTTTGAAAGTACAAGCAATAAAACTTGAACAGTAAGTGAACCGACCCGACGTTGGGAAGTTATTGAAAACGTAGTTACTATGTTGAAACTTTTGATTGGTTGATTACTATTTGAAACTTGTTGTTTTGTTTTCTTATTAAAGAAAGGAAAGATAAAGATGACTAGATACTTTGAGTATTTTTATGACAAAAAGCCCGTCTCAGAACGGAGTTTCCTAAACAAGTTTTTTCTAAAATTGTTATAATTATGACGCGAATATTCTGCGTGGCAATTACAAAGCAAAGTTTTGCTTCGAGTATCACCTGACGATATGCGTGTTGCGCGAAAATTATAATCAAATTTTGTTCCACGAATATATAAAATATATATAAAATATATATATCAAACCCACACACACACACATACACACACACACACACATAGCCCATGTTCTCTCACAGCGTGCGATAGATGAGACGGAGGAAATAACATTGCTAATAAATCGCGACCCACTGGAGCCATTTGGTTAGAGCTGCGTCTAATAATAAGGAGTTAATACAGACGATCTGCTAAGAATGGTAACTCGATACTTTGTCGGGAACGCCTAACTGATTGAGGCAAATTGAACGTATTGTCAGCAGGAAGCGCAACGTTTAAGTCTGAATATTATTTCAATGTCGCATCGCCAATCGCGGCATTAAAAATTACCGCGAATTAATCCTGCCGAAATCAGCGGGGCTGACAGCTTAATAGCGGGTTGTAACGACTGTTAAATTATACTATATTATATTGCTAAGCATTGAACACATGAGAGTCGTTGACATATTAGAATCATATAATTAATATTAGAATTGTCGTTATTAATAACGAATTGTAAAATATTGATCATTATCATTCAAACGGTCACTCTCAGTCGAATGCATCAAGAGAGATTAAATTTAATTTTTTATTTCATTATATATTTCATTGCACAATACTTTTTATATTTCTAGTTAACATGTGCGTGTGTTTTTACGATATTTTATGTTACTACATTTCGAAGAAAACAAGAAAATGACTCGGAAGTCTATCTGAAATAATCGATATTAAACATTCGCATGTCGCACGAGTGATGTGGCAATAACAATAGCTACAACCTGCCAAATATATTCTGAAACAAAATAAATAATATAGTGTGATGTCAACATATCGGTCAACATATCGGGATGACCGGAATACAGCAATCGGTTTTTCACAAGCTGCCGTTTTTCGTACAAATTTCGTTAGTCTCTCGATCGCGAAGGCTCGCACGATCTAAAGGATTCCGTCACATGATTGCCGTTGCACAACTATTCGCGCATTAAAAGCTCTCACTCTTTATGTACGCGCGCGCGGTTCGGACGGACCAAGTGAAAATCAACCTTATAAATAATGCGCACATTGTGCTCTCACGCTTTTCGCGCCAAGCTCGCCGAGTGCATAAAGGCCGAGTCAATATAGTTGACGATATTGTGGTAGCGGTGCGCCGCTTTGTAAGGAACGCTCGGCGTCTTAATATCGCGGCCGGAAGGATTAACCACGAGACCCACCTAAGAATAGAAGGATCACGGTAGGATTCTAATTAAACGGAAAATAGCTTCATTAAGTTCGTAACAGCCCCGGGGCCGCACTCCACGATACTAAACCTATGCCGTGTCAGGGGGGAGGCTATGGGGGCGACGGAACCAACCGAACCAACCTTCCCCTCGTGTTTCAAACCCCTCTCATCCCCCTCCTCGCCCTCCCCCAACCCTTTACGACGTTCGTATGCGGGAAGCATGTAACGAGGAGCCGTGTATTCCGTAGCGAGGAGAGCACAAAGACGACGACACAGGTGAACCGCGGATATGCGCCGGAATTAATTGGCACGTTCTACATAAATTAGCGCAATGTCGACGCTTAACGATCGCCGAAACGAAGAACGAGACACGGGGAACGACGGAGAATTGGAAGTACCGGACAGGTTCGCGACATTCGACCGCGCGTCGTTCTTTACTTTGCGCGAAAACCGCAGCCTGCGGAAGCGAACAGCAACATTCTGAACAGGAACGTCACGCGCAAAGGATTCGGCGATACACGGGCGAACTCCTGAAGAGATCTAAATAGATCTACTTCCGGGATTCGTCCGTACGTCAAAAGTCCCAGACACTTTTCTCTTCATGCTAATGATAACGTTCTTTCTAATGTCGTGTGTACTTTTGACTGATTGATCGACCAGCTTATTATTGGAGACATATCGCTCTCAGATTTCTCATCACGCAGAGGAACATCAGGGTGATTAAAAGTTTCGAGTATTCTCCTGAAAGCCCGTCTCGCAGATCGAATGGGAAATTTTTGGTTTCTAACGATATTTAAAATTTCCATTATGACTCGACGCGAATATTCGATGCGGTTGTTGCGCAGTAAAGCAGAAATGATCCGTTCGGAGGTTTCAATATTTGAACAAACTACTGCGAATGGTCGTGAAATCCGCCCCGCAGCAACATTTCTAACGTCAAGGACGAAAAACCGACCGATCAACCGACTTACCATTGGAGACTTGACGCTCTAGTTTCTCATCACGCAAAGGAACATCAGGATAATTAAAAGTTTCGAGTATTCTCCTGAAAGCCCGTCCCGCAGATCGAATGGGAAATTTTTGGTTTCTAACGATATTTAAAATTTCCATTATGACTCGACGCGAATATTCGATGCGGTTGTTGCGCAGTGAAGCAGGAATGATCCGCTCGGAGGTTTCAATATTTGGACAAACTACTGCGAATGGTCGTGAAATCCGCCCCGCAACAATATTTCTAACGTCAAGGACGAAAATCATCGAAGACACAATGAGCGCTTGTCCACGCACGTATTTTCGCCCTGTTGCTTGTTTCTTCGAACTTTCTTATTCAGACGCCTTGGCCGACTCGTGATCGGGCTTTATCATCGAACTCCGGCCGCGTCCTCCATCTTTTCGTGTCGATCGCGCTGTGAATCGTCTCGCTTACCAGGGCACACACTCTCTTTTCACGCGGCCTAGCCAGCACTTTGCAGTTTATTATACGGTCGCCTTTACGTCACATGCTGCTTTACGAGCGAGATGCTCACGGATATCCTCCATTGACGTGACATTTTCCGAAGGAGGCGTTTCGCGGCTGTGCCGACAAAGAATCGCGCATCAAGTGGACAAGGGAGCCGACGGCGCGCGCGAACGCGCTTTATATCACTTTATCGTTCGCGAGGTCGTAAACGAAGTTTCGGCTCGGAGGAGTTTTCGACATAATGCAATATTACGCATGCAAACTCATACGCCGAGGCGATACTCGACATTTTTGAACGCTCTCCGACGGCGCGCACCACGGGGAGCAGATAAAACGAAAAGTCAGAGACAGAGACGTGACGCGACGAGAGATACAGACACAGAGCGGCACGATCCGAACGAGTTTGACCCGTTCGCCGATTTAGCGCGGCTTCGAGTCTCGAGGACGTCCCGCTTTGCAATAATGCCCGACGAGAGGCGACGCGCGCGCGCGCGCGCGCGCGGCCGATGAAAGGAGGCGAAGGAGGATGGGAGAGCGACGAGGACGAGACGGACGACCGCCGAATTGGCGATTGCAAATTGCAGGCTGCGTCCGCGAGAGGACGAAGCTCCCCCCGTGCGAAGAGGTGCGGCGGAACGCGCGCGCTACTCCGCAGCCGGAGGAGGAGCAGCAGCAGGAGGAGGAGGAAAAGGACGCGAAAGAAGAGGACGGAGGATAGGTAAAAGCAGAATGCAACGAATTCGAAAAGAGCGGAGCCCTGCGCCTGCATACGTAATGCCATCGAGCCATTGTCAACCGGCCCCCCTTTTGTCTAGCGAACGGACGGCAGGGCGGAGGGGGCGCAGCTCGCG